CGGGAGCGCGCCATGTATAGAGGGGAGGAGGGGCAGAGAGGCTGCTTTTGTCTGTTCAGCAGCCTGTTGCTCAGGGGAGGGGGGAGCCTGTTGCTGGCAGGGGGGGCAGCGGGCGTGGGGGGGCACTTTTCCTCTGCCCGGCAGCTCTGCGGGACCCCAGTCGGAGCCGGCCCGAGGAGGAGGAGGATCCTAGGACCCAGGTGAGCGAGCCCCGGGAATGCTGCTGCGCATGTGCGGGAGTTGCCTCACCCCGTTCGTATCTAGGGATCCGACATAAGTCGGATCCACTTAAGTCGGGGACTGCCTGTAGAGGGTAAAATTTGAGTGTGTCCATTGACTTCAATTGCAATAATGCAACAAGGTAGAGTAGTGCTGTGAACACTAATTTTATTGGCGTATGTAAATCACTGCAAATGTTTCACCCTTTCTGTATTTACAGAGTATTGAGTGGCCTATGAAGTTTCCTCAGGCTTTTGTGAGGATGGGACTGTCTCAGCCAAAGGGTATTCTCCTCTATGGGCCACCGGGATGTTGCAAAACCACTCTGGTGAAGGCTGTGGCGACAAGCTGCCATTGTTCCTTTCTTTCTGTTAGTGGTGCTGACCTTTTTTCACCTTATGTTGGAGATTCAGAGAAGATTTTATCTCAGGTTTGGTTTTTAATCACATATAATTTGCTTTATTTTTGTATAAAGAATTCTTCACTACTATATATTGCTTTTTGAGTCATTAAGGTCATATTCATCCGATCTAAAATGGTAATGTTCAGTTGATTTCAGTGGAGCTATTGCCATTTACATCTGCTGAACATACGGCCCTAAGTTATTTTTCAAACTCATTTAATCTACCAATTGTGTGTTGCTTTTTGTTCTTTGCTTGACTTGAGTATTCAGTTAGGAGCCTGGAGTCTGCTATACAGTAAATGTAATCCAAAGTGGTTCTCCATTGAATGTTGTAAATAAATATTTATTTAAAGTGAATTAACAGTTAAGTATAAGTACAAAAAATATGTAACAAATGTTGTCAGTTGACATGGTGGTACTTACATATGCATTACAAATTCTTTAGTTTATTTTATGAATCTAATAAAAGGTTTTTCGGCAAGCAAGAGCACATACTCCAGCAATAATATTCCTGGATGAGATTGATTCTATCCTAGGATCTCGATCAGCCTGCAGAACTGGACATGGTGCCTCTGAGAAGGTTCTTTCTGTCCTCCTTAATGAATTAGATGGCGTTGGAGTTAAAGTCACAGAGAGAAGAGAGAATAAATTACAGCTTGAAAGTGATTGTCAAGAACAAAATGAAAAGGAGAGACAGGTATGTACGCTCACTTTTTACAGGAAGAAGACTCATTTTTATTGCTGAGGTGCTGCAGAACAGCGGCTCCCAATCTCCAGTCCATAGACTGGTGCCAGTCCGAGAACCACTGGCTCCCATGCCACATCAGCTGCCATAGCTGAAACTGGATATTTGCGGTGGTTCAGCTCCAGCAGCTGTAGTGGCTGATTTTTGCAATGGGGCTGAAGTAGTGGCAGGAGGAGGAAGAGCAGAAGGTGCCTCCCTCCCTCTTCCTGACTCAGTAATGGCGGCCCAGCTGGGGCTTTGCGCTCCCCCCCCCCCACCCTGCTTGGGTAGGGAGAGTGGCCATCTCCTTCATGCCCCCTCCCTCCCCGTGCAGCAGTGATGGCCACACTCTCTAGAGGGGGCAGTCTCTTTCTCTGGGGAGAGTGGGGATGGGGGTGATGGGGTGTTGGGTGAGGGGATGGTGGAGTCACAGGGCAACAGAGTGTTGGCATGAGCAGTACAGGTCAGAGGTTAAAATGTCAAAGGAAGCTCAGGGCATGGAGTGGAGGTCAAACGGTGTTAGGCACTGGGGAACAAGGAGCTGGGTTGGGGCTAAGTGGACATGGAACATTTTATTTGCAAATAAAATATTTATAACAAATATGCAAATATTTGAATTAAATGTTGCTGGTCTACCAAAAGTTTGTGAGTGAGTTTGCTGGTCCATGGCATAAAAAAGGTTGGGAACCACTGCTCCAGAAGTCTACATCATTAGCCTTCACGGATTAAAAAATCTTCTTTCTGCTGCCTCTGGCAACCTATTGATAGCATCCAGTATTTTCTTTTACACACATTGTTTTAATACACTTTTAACTACTTGTTGCCTTTGTAAACAGTTATATAGACCATTGAAACACTTCTGTGATACTTCAGTCTTATGTCCTCTCTACACTCAGATATGCACAGTCTTGCTAAACTCTGACCCCAAAAAAGTTCCACGTGCATTTTATATTACATATTGGTATATTGGCCTACACAAAGCAGACATGTTTGTACCAAAAAGGAATGTGATTAAATATGGATATATGCATTTATTGCCTGTATTGCCTCTCTTTGTCTCCTCTTAATTGATACTTACAAATTAGGCTTGTCCTGTAATCCAAAGTGCATAAAACATTCTATACATATCTAATTTGCTGCACGTATAATCTCATTCAGCTAGAGTTTCAAGAAGTTTTGAACAAAAATGTTATGATAGTTGCTGCAACAAATAGACCAGACATGTTGGATGATGCCTTGTTGCGTCCTGGAAGGTTAGACAAGATCATCTATATTCCACCTCCAGACCAGAAGGTAATGCATTATAAATCTGTACACAAATTTACATAGAGGTGTGAAGTTGTAGGTATACTATTTTTAACAACAAAAAGAGGCATAGTACTATAATGTATACAAGAGTGGGTAACTTTGCACTGTAGATTAGCTATCAAACATCTAGCTTTTGAAATAAATATGAAAACAGCATGGATATAATTAAAATGTATATAAAAATGTAACCCTTCACCCACTATGGTCAAAGCACTGGCATTTCTGGAACTTCCTTACTTTTGAATGTTTGATGATATATATTTCCTAAATCAATAATTCAGATTGAGTAATACCAGAATTGCCTGTGCTTAGGTCAGTTTATATTACTGGCCTTGTTCTTAGAAACTGAACTGATTCTCTGAAACTTTCCAGAAAAAGTCAGCAGAGAGCAAGTATGGACGATTTAAATCCAAAAGGCTACAATTTTGGAAAAAGTATCAGCAGCTGAAGAAATTAACTTAAAATGGATAGTATTAAACAATTTAACCATAAACATAGCTGCAAACTTTGTTCATAGACTTGCCAATCTCCTTACTAAAAAAGAAAAAAGCATGCCAGCCAACCAACCAACATAGCGTGTATGGTTGAGCATTCTACATTCTTTTTGTGCTTCTTTGTCTTAAATTCTAGTACTTCAAATAGCCTATACCAAATTAGGGGTGGGAGGACAAGGTATAGAAGAAGTCCAAAAGCACCAAGACCAATTCATGATTTTAAGAGGCATCATGAGATAGTGTGAAAATTATTGGGGTTGGTAAGGATATTGCAGCAAAATTGTAGCCCCTTGTCCTACAGACAAGGAAGATAGTTGGCAGCCCAACAAGAATTTTGGTCAAACTGGTAGTTTTCAGTCAAGATACTCAATTGATTATAATTATTGAACTTTGCCAATGAAATCTTTTCAACTGCTGTATTATTGTACTGCTTGAATGCATCATGTGATTACTCTATGGTAAATTGGATTTTTCTTGATAGTTTATCTCAAACAGAATGTTTCTCTCCTTATTACTGTACTGTAATAGATTTGAGCATAGAACTTGCAGTACTAGGCAACACGAATAAAAGTGGCAGAAAATAGGCCTACATGAATGCTTTTAATAAAACAAATAGAACATAAGTGACTGTCCTTTATCTTTGTGTAATGTGCTTGTATCATAGGGAAGGCTTTCTATTTTGAAAATTTGCACACAAAAAATCCCAGTAGATTCTGATGTGTCATTAGAATACCTAGCTGTGCAAACCAAACTCTTTTCTGGAGCTGATATTGAAACTCTCTGCAAGGAGGTAAGAGCTTTTTGTTGGGTAAGTGAATATTTCAGATGGAGAGGCCCAATTATAGAAAATTCTAAGGCATTTCATATTTTTCCTCTATTTTTAATGAAAAGGATGTAAGATAAATTCCCAACATTTTATACAAGGTGAGTGAAAAAAATATGTTGTATGTGTAACATATACCCAGTAAATAAGGAACCTGTTAGCTCTAGGTGCAGAATTAATTGCCCTGAAGAGACAGTTTGTGAAGTCTGGGAACTCTTTACGGCAGAGAAAATATATACAGAAGGCAGATAATGCAACTTTACTGGTTTGCATTTTTGGGGAGTAGGGTAAACCCAGTCCTGCTTTCTGTCAAGAGCTCCTATCCTTAAACATACAGTGCTCAAAAATGTCTTCAAATAATGCAAGTATGGAGCATTAATTAATTTTGCTTTAGTAGGAACTACTGTGTATGGAGATGAGTTTGCTGTGGAGAATGCCTTTTCTTTCTGTGTCCCAGACCTCCCCCTCCAAAAATTGTGGAGCATGGTGGCAGCACACTGCCAGAGTGTCTCTTCCCCTCTCACTTGCATTTACCACTATCTGTTGAGTTCTGTTTACTTTCTCCTTTCTCAGAGGGTAGCATTTAAAAGAGTATATGCTGAGAAACTTGGATTAACTGACCAAAAAAAATGATGCTGAACAAGTCGATTTTTGTCAAAATTCATAGGTTAAGTGGAATAAGGGACTACTAATACTTGCTCCAGAACCTATCCCTTACCTTTTTAAAGCATTTCTTAAAATCCATTTAGATTGTTCCCTTGTACTACACATCATATAATTTATTACTGAAATTAACATAAATCAGGGGAAGAAAGACTAGGATATAATGTTAATTTTTATTTTTAAGTTTTTGAATAGATTGATTTGTAATGTGTCAGCTCCTGACAAAGTGAAAATATTTCAAATTCTGTACATCTTGTTTTTTAAGGCTGCTTTGCAGGCATTACAAGAGAATGGACTTGAAGCAACTAGTGTGAAACATGAGCATTTTGTGAAATCACTCAAGACTGTAATGCCATCATTAACCCTCACAGATTTGAATTTTTATGAAAAATTATTTAAAGAGGAAGTATCTGCTTAAATCGGAAAAATTTGAAGAATGACATGCAAAAATTTGTCGGTTGTTTTGATTTTTTTTAATCTGTTGTGTAATCTTATATTATTTTGTGTAACAGATCTAAAAGTAACCTGCGCACAAAGATGCACATTTTCCTTTCCTTTAGTGTAGAAAGGATTGAAATAAATATATTCATGTTCACTCTGCTGGATTTTGGTTTAGAAGTATTAAGCATGGTCTTCCATAGACTTTCCACCTCCAAGACCCAGTCAGTAAGCACTTCTGTGAGCGAAAATTTCACTGTTAAGGCCAATACCAGTAAGAAATCTGACACAATCTAAGAGGCCATCCACAATTTCCAGAAATCTTTGAGGATTTGTATAGCATACTGAAAACTGCCTTTAACTGAAGGCTCAAGAATATTAAATCCTTAATAAAGATTCATTTTCTCCAAGGCACTTGATGAATTAAGTAGACGTAGACAAAAATTAAATTTTGAAAGTCAAATAAGTCACTTTTCATTTCGGTAAGATTTTTACTATTTTTGTACTGTAATGTTGTCACGATCACTAGTCGCTAGTTCCCCATAGTCCACAGAATAGTCTAAGCTAGACAAAAACTAAATATCTAATGTAAAAAAGCAGAGAATAAAGCTTTTAGAAAAAAAACCCTTTTGTGCCACATTGATACCTCATAAAGAAATAAAAAGGAGCATAAATTGCTTTTAATTGCTGTTACACAAGTCTGTATTTGCAATCGTAATTTGAAGCATAGATATTTTCCTTATGGACTGCAGCTTGCATTGTATCTCGTGTGTGCTGCTTTGTAATGTTATAATTTTATGGGTTTGTATGTACTCGAGCAAGATTTTACTTGTTCTAGATTACAGAAATCTTTCTCATGAAAGGAAAAATACATTCAAATCTTTTTTGCAATAAATATAACAATGTCTTTTAAAGCTCCTGAATTTTCAGAAAACATTCTCCTGATGGAGGCCTGTTATTGATGTGAACTAAATTTGAGTGACAGAGACTTGCTTAATATTAGGGTCCCTTACAGTGTCGCTGTTACACTTTTCCACATAGCAGGTGGATTTGGTCTATATTTAAGTCTGAATTTGCAAGCCAAGCCTTTCACAAACCAAAAAAGTAATCTAGTAAGAAGCTCTATTTTGCATGGTGAAGACTTTTTTTCCTTGGGGCTTACTGAAAATTTATCAAAATTTAATTTCCAAATGTAGATGAGCCCTTAGAATAAAACATAAAATATACTAAATAAATAAAATGTTAGGCTGCCTTGTATGAGTACAGTATAGTATACTAAGTGCCATTAACTGTGAGACCTGTGTACCATTAAATTCATGTCTAGGGGCCTCACAATCTGCAAATGCATGTGTATCATATAACTTATATTTGTATAGTATTTTTAGCAGCAGGCATGCCAGAAGCACTTTTGGCTATTGTAGGTATATAGCACCACTGAAATGCACTGCATTTGGTGGTCTGCACATTTTTAAATTTGGGAACCTGTTTTATCCAAAAGAGTTGTTGTAATGAAACAAGCAGATATCAGTACAATTACAAACCTACAGTCAAGAGTTAAGCAATAATTGGTGCTATGGGAGCAGTGGTTTTACGGACAATCTTTTTGCAGTTTGAATTTTGTCAATCGGTACCCAATTTTGCTCCTATATTTCATCATTCTTTGTGTTTGCATTGTAAATGGAAATTTGTTAAAATATACTAGTATCTGGAAGGGAATGATTAAATATTTTTACGGTGTATTTTTTTGTTTGTTTCTCCTTTGGCTCGTCAGGGAAGGGATTTAAAAATGTAATTGTGTTTCTGTCCGGGAAAAGCTCCAGGACTATGCTTCTGTAGGTGGTAAGAAGAAACTCAAGTAAAATACAAAATCTAAGGTTAAAATTCAGAATGGGACATTTTCTTTTTTCCTGTTGTGTGTAATGAAACCCCAAGAAAATTATCTAAATAGTGGCTGGACCTTGAAGATTCCATGGCAGTTGGAGATGACAGCAAAGAGAGAGAAGCTGGCCACAGATTCAAGCTATTTAATTTATTAGCTCCACTAGTTCCACCACCAAAAGAGTACCCTGATGTTCTTGCTGTTGCTGGCACCTAGAAACATTACCATCTTGCTGCAGGGTCCCTAAAACCCTAGGGCTGCTGTTGAAGATCCATGGTGATGAGAGACATATAGGTGAGTTAGAAAGGATTACTTTACCTGATCTCCTGTGTTTCCAGCATTGTGAGTACAGCTTTAGAGGGTTCTAGAGTTGAAAACTTGCTTGTGTACGGGATGTATTGGCTAGTGATTGAATCCAACAGGCTTACAATTATACAGGAACCCATAAACCCAGCTGAGTTTTAGAAGCTGATTCAACAATTTACTGCTCAGATGTGGGTAGCATCTGTGATCAGGAAGTCTGTATTTCATATTCCATCTGAGCCATCCACCCAAGGTTTTGTTCCATTATTAATATCAACTAGTCAACCTCCAAATACAGCAGCCTCTTGCTTGTGCTCAGTGTTGATACCCCCTTGCTGCCTTCTAGTTCCAGAAACAGTCTTAGCAAAAAGCCAGCAACTGCTCTTCATACTTTAAATTGTGAATCATATCACAATGAGGGTGCCATGCCCCTTAGGCCACTCAACAGCATTTAAGGTAAGGCATCCTCCTGCAGAGGGCCTGCAAGGAGCAAGCTGGGCTTTCCCTGGAGTTCCTTCTACTGGCTGCCAGGGGCTACTTGGAGGGAAACACCATATAGCAAAACTTCCTGTTCTCCCCTCTCACTGCCCTGCCTTTGTTGCACAGCTGGACAAGTGTCAGCAAGGCTGCCTTGCACGCACAGCCCTACCCCAGCATTAGCTATTGCCTGTGAAAGGTAACAAGGAGGGGAGATCAGGGAGCACTGTTGGTAGGCAAAGAGGAGGCTGGTCAGGCATGTTGGGTGAGGGAGCCAATGGAGGCAGTTAGGAGAAGCAAGCAAGGAAGGAGCCCAGAGTAGGTAATCAGGGAGCAAGTTAGGGTGAGTATGGGCAAAAGGTAGGTGCTCCAAAGTGTGATGGTGGGATGGGAACCCTGCCTGTCAGAGAGCCATTAGCGCAGGGAAGAGTGCAGGGGCCAAAGAGCTACCTCCTTATCCCTCCCAAGCTACCCTCTGGGGAGCCAGGCCTGCTGCTGACATTCCCCTAGCATTCTCTCCAAACAGACCTATAAACTACTGTCCCTATACACGCCACAGTTGAGCCACGTCCCTCATGCCATCCCCCATTTAACCACATGGAGCCACCCTCCTTTAACCGGCCCCCAGAGGAACTGCCCGCCTTTATCCCTCTCCCTGTTCCGCCATGCCGAGCCACACCCCCTTAAACCACTGCCTTCTCCAGCAAAGGAGCCAAATTCCCCACCAACCCATGCAGCCCATCCCACTCCACACACTTCTACCCGTCATTCCCTCTATGCAGCCTCCCTCTCACCCTCCCGTTGGTGCATACGCACCCTGTCCTCTACTGCTGTGCCCTATGCAGCCAGTCCTGCCCTGCCCCATTCTGTGTCCCATGCAACCATGCTCCCTGCAGCCAACCTTGCCCTGCCCCCTACCCCTTCTGCACCATACGCAGCTAACCCTGCCCTGCCCTCTATCCCTTTTGCACCTCATGCAACCCCTTCTGCATGCAACAAGTCCCGCCCTGCCCCCTTCTGTGCCCCATGCAACCAAGCTTGCCCCTACCCATTCTGCACCCTATGCAGACAAGCCTGCCCTGCTCCCTACCACTTCTGCACCCCATGCAGAAAACCCTGTCTCACCCACTACCCATTCTGCACCTCCATGCAGCTGGCCCCACCCTGCCCCCACCCCTTCTGTCCCTTATGCCGCCAATCTCAGTCACCACCTACCCCTTCTGTGCCCCACGCAGCCAGCCCCACCCTGTTCTTACCCCTTCTGTGCTCCATGCAACCTGCCCCGCCCTGGCTCTACTTCCTCTGCGCCTCGTTCAGCCACCACCGTCCTGCTCCCTACCCTTTCTACGCCCCATGCAGCTAACCCCGCCTAGTCAACACTCGCCCCCCGCGGAGCTGCGAGCGCAGCTCTTCGCAGCGCTCTCAAGCCCGGGTCGCCGCGTGTCCCGCAGGGGGAGCCGCTGCCTCATGCTGCCGGGTTTGCAGACAGGAGACTGCGAGGGGAAGTTGTGCATCAGGCTTTACGATCTCTGCACTGGGCTACGTGACTTGGGAGCTAGCCAGCCTGTTTGGGTGTGAGCCGTGCTATATAAAAGGCTGGACACTCCCCACACTAAAGCTGTGTGTGCAGTGCAGCTTTTCCCCCTCTCCTCCCGGCCAGGTAAACGCAGGGCGGGCTCCTTTGCCTCTAAGCGGCAGAGCGCATCTGGGGTAGTGGGTTATTGGTTGGGACCTGCATGGTGATAGGGGATTATGTAGCAAGTGTAATAGCCTCTGCCCGGGGTGGTACCCACTAATGACAAAATTGTAACTGGGCACCCTTTCTTTCAGGTCTACAGCTGCCGCTATGGCCAACTTGGGCTTTTTCCAAATGCTAAGGAAATACAAAGAAGTAAGTGTTCAAAAGAGCCTTCTACAATGATCCGATCTGCCTTTCCGGCTCAAAGCGTCCGAAGGGCCTTTTAAAGAGCTTACATTAGAAGGTGAAATTTGCCAGATTAATAAAATGCACTTTCTAAAATAAAACGCGGGAGCAGAAGATGACATACTGGAATTGAGATGACGCGATGGGTGTATATTTTATGCCTTTCTTTGTGAGGATTTCACTTTCATTAAAGCTTTTTTAATGCATGTCTGCAGTGTGCATGGACTATCAAGAGAGACCTCTTGTTCTTGAAATCCTTGTCCTCTCCTTTTTTGTGTTTCAGCTCATTCCCTTGGTTGGTTTTGTTGGCTGTGCTGCAGTTGGGGCTGTAAGTTCTTCGTTGTATGCCCTACACCACAAAAGTGATGTGATGTAAGCTTTCTTATTTCTCTGAGTTACATACTTGGTATTGAGTTTTCTTTGCTGAACAGATACACTTGCCTGATTACCTCATGGACTTCAGAATATGGGAGTAGGATCTAGGTGAGCGGATAAAGAAAAATCTGAAATTTAGAAGATCGTTTAAATTGATGTCTTAATTTTCCAGATCATTGATTCTTCTATTGTATTTTTGTAAAGAATTTACTCCAGTCTGTTATTCCTCAAACTGGATTATATTTTGAAGTTGTTGCTCACAATGTTTATTTTTTGTCTTCACTTTAGCTTAAGCTAAAAAGTTCTTGTGCAAAGTTTTAAAGTGTATTCAAATAGCATTTAATATGTCTCAAAGGAATGGGTTGATAAGGATTGTTTTTACAACACAAATCTATCTTTTTACATTTTTTCTGGTTAGAGAGCAGTACGCTGATTACCTCATTTCCAATACCCAGTAGCCTAGAGTCTGCTTTCACTTTACCATCTCATTCAATTTATTTCTCATACCCTCATTGGAGGTATTTTATTAATGACTCCTCTTTGAGATTTTAAATCAGATTGTTAAATATCAGACTGCTGTTGCTTATATCTAGATGACAATATTTTGATACCCATTATCAGTCACTACTTAATTTCTTTAAAATGATTTGGCTATTAATTTAGATCCCACACTTGCAACATTGAAGTCCATGGGAGCTTTAAAATTGACCTGAGATCAGAATGACAGGGCCCTTAGCAATAAAGGATAAGTCTTCCAGTAACTGTGACCTAAACAACAACATATTATTATTAATTAATCAATGATGGCATGTCTAGTGTCATACAAACTACAAATAAAAGCGAACCTCTCTACCAGTTTTAATGGTCTAATGCTGTAAACCTTTATTCATGGAAGTAGTTTTTACTCACATTAGTAGTTACACGGAAGCTAGTGAGAATACTCAGATGATTAAGCATGTGCAAGATCAAACTTTAAAACATTATCTTTGTTTTTTTTGTATAATTTTCATGATTCTTTTTTAGTATTAACAAGTCTGGCAATCCAGAACCTTGGGAAAGTGTGAATCCCAACAAGTCTCAAAAGGTAATGAATAAAATAATGTAGTCCATAAAAGTTGGCATCAAATGTAGTGCCAATTAACTACATTCTATTTAATTAGAAATTAAATTAATGTATATTAATATATTTAGAGTGTATGAACTAGCGGCATGATAATGAAGAATACAATCAAATCTGCAGTCCTAGTCTAATTCTGCAAAGTGCTAAGCAAAAACAACTCCCATTTACAGTACACTGAATTCAGTATGTGCTTTAGGGATACAAAGAATATGTGGGTAAGTCCTGTGTATTCATAAAATCAGAAATAAGCTAATATTATGGTTCTTAAGATATTTGTGGAGAGAGAGGTTCAGTAGGCAAACATTTATTGTGATTGTTGTGTTTACTGTGCATATATTGTAATGTTTTTATTTAAAATTCTATTTACAGGCAGTCCCCGAGTTACGCGGATCCGACTTATGTCGGATCCGCAGTTACGAACGGGGCCGTTCCTCTCCCTGGTCTCCAGCAGACCAGGGAGAGGAAGCAAAGCGGCGGAACACGTGGGCAGCGCACAGGGCTGTCCGCTGCCCACGCGCTCCGAGGCTTGGCTCTGCTTTGCCCCCCCCTCTCCACCTGGTCTGCAGCAGCAGAGCGTCTGGGCTGTCAGCTGAAAGCGCGCTCCGCGGCTTGGCTCTGCTTGGCTCTGCTTTGCACCCCCCCCGTCCCCGTCCCCCTGGTCTGCAGACCAGGAGGACGGGCGGGG